AAATATCTTCCGTAATAACACCACATAAAAAGTTAATTTTACACAAAATATCGCCATGTCGTGGATAGAGGAACAACCTCCAGATTTGAAGTTGGCTGCGGCGGATAAGCAGTAATTGCGGATAGACAGCGGTGGGACCTTTAAGTTGTGGCCGGATTCGAGCTCTACAAGTTTGATCCTCAGGGAAAATGTCGTAATCCTCAGTGGCTGTGTCATACGGTGCTTTTAGCGATTTGTCCCTTAAACGAGAAAGGATCTCCTACGTCCTTTCTGCCTTGTGGCTAGACATAGGTTCGTCATAGACTAGAAGAGACAACCTCGCTTAAAATACCGGACAGAATTCGCGGACTCCGCTGTACGAAATTCCCCAGGCAACCGTCAGCTTTGTCAGCGGGTGGCCACATCTCATGTTTTGCGATAACACGAATGCGTGTTTCTGAGTACCCTGCACATCTGTCGACCTTCTCTGTTTCGGCGGATTGGTGTTTGACTGACGACAGAATGCTGCGAATTCCATGTGAAAGGCCACAATCCGGTTAACGGACCCAGACATCCCTAGTCGTTTGCACCTATTACAGTAGGGTACTGACAGAGATAAACGTTAAACCGTCTAATGAAGTAAAAGTAATGGATGACCTGAGATATCGTTGGCCTCTGCGAAACACGATGGCGGAACCAGGTGGATGGCACCTGGAAAGAAGGCGGTAAGAAAGGCCGATGATTATGCAAAATCTGGAGTTCCGAATAATGCTTCAAGCAAGTTAATATTAATTGTATTGCCTCATTCACTCATGAAGACGAGTCAGGAATCCTCGCCAATGTCTTCATAACCTATTGTCATTCGTTCCTAGTCAGTAATCAACTACTCCAAGCGTTAAGTTTCTTTTGCTTATACCATCAGAAATGGAACAACCAGAATTAGTTTAGTCAACTGTAGAAATGTTTTTTTTAATGATCCTGCGCTTTCAGTCTCGGAATTTTAAGCACTCTAGTCTGAATCGTGATACCAGTAGCGCATGCTTCATTTTTCAGAGGTGGGTCAATGGGAACCAGTGTCTGGACATGAGCTAGAGTAGCTAAGGCGTCGCTGACTTTCTAGTTAATGCGCTCATGAATGATTGTAGTGAAACATATCAATGCAATGACGAAAGCTCTCCGCCAGAAGTGGTTCCTATCTTGAAAGCGAAGGGCTGTCCAATTTCTCTCCGAAGGGAAAATTTATTCTTGTCTCATCTTCCATCGATTTACTGCTTAATTCAACC